GCCTGCTGAACACTGGCGCCACCGGTCCCTCCGACCACCACCAGCAGGCAAAACTGCTAAACTCTTTCCAAAACATATGTGAAAGAACAGCGATGCAATATATTTTGGCCGAGCAGTATTGCAGTAGTGTGATGACATCATCGGCAGGCGCAGGACCCCAAGCAGATCTGACAACTACAACGCCAGAAAACTACAATCAGCGTTGCATTCTCTTGGTTCAATTAACTGAAGGACCATCAAAGACAGGCCTAGTCCACACGTAGCCGGGTTTTTTTAAACGAATATCCGCCCCTCCAAAAACCACCTCGTTTTTAAAAAAAACTCTGTCCACACGTACCCGGATAAATACGTTGTTAAGGACATGCCAGACCTGTAGGCGGCAGTACTTCCCCCGTTCTTAACCTCGTCCTTCGTCTGTGGTCTTCCGCAAGGAGCAGTAATTCTGCTTGCAAAAACAAGCAAGCAAAAAGCGCTTGGACAATTGATAAAGCGAGCGCAGCTCTGAGGGCATCCATGCTGTCGGCTAGTGCAAACACAGGTCGCACACGTGATGTCAGCATTTTTTTGTCGCGGAAAGTGACGTTGCGGACCTTAAAACTCCGGTTTTGTCCGTCCACACGCAGACACCCAAAACGGAGAAAACGCAGATCTTCACTTTGGCCGGGGTTTTTAAAAAGATCAGTTTTTGTGTGAAAAAACTCCGTTTTCGTGTGGATGACAGGCCAAAACGTAGAAAAATATCTACGTTTTGGCAGATCCCTGGCTACGTGTGGACAGGGCCTGAGTAACGCTGAGGTTGCATGCTTTCATCTCCACAGTTAACATTTACTGTAACTTTTTTTTTAAACGAGCGACAGTCATGGCGGTATGGTGTGAAACTATCCTGAAATGTCTGTACTTCCCCCTAGTGACAAGAAACTACACACTGCCAATTTAAAGATGGCTGACATAAACTTAGTTATTTATTCTCCATCTGCGGCTGCATGGAGACGAGCAACATTGACACAAGCAGCTGACACAAGCACTCAGCAGCAGGCCCACAGAGGGTGATGAAGATATGCCCAATGTCCTAACTGCATGTCGAAAGTACGGAGAGTGCATGGCTGTGATTGGTCAGCATGCCACTTCCTGTAATTTGTCAACAGCACTGCTATTCCTGCATGGGCTGCATGGCGGCGCAGTGGTTAGCACTGTTGCCTCGCAGCATGAAGGTTGCAGGTTCGAAACTCGGCTGCGGCCTTTCTGCACGGAGTTGCGTGTTCTCCCCATGCATGTGTGGGTTTCCTCCGGGTACTCCAGTTTCCCCCACAGATCACAACACGCCCTATAGGTTATAAATTGTAAGTCGCTTTGGATAAAAGCGTCTGCCAAATAAATAAAAACAAACAAACATTAAAAAAATGGGATGGGGGGGGGCAGAAGATATCTATGGAACAGATCAAAGAACTTCTTTCAGGTTAGGTACTACGACCGCCCAAGGCACTTCACAACAGAATAAGTCATTCACCCATTCACACGCTGGTGAGGATGAGCTATGATGTAGCCACAACTGCCATGGGGCGCACCGACAGAGGCGAGGCCACCACCAGCAGACAAGCCGGGTTAAGTGTCTTGCCCAAGGACACAACAGCAGCATTCTCTGGTGGGTGCCGGGAATATGCTGCTGTTGTGTCCTTGGGCAAGACGCGTAAGACACCTTACTCAAAGGTCAACAAAACACCTCTGCAAAGAGAGAGGACATTTTCAGAGCGGGAATGTGTTTTTGATGGAGCAGAAAGTGGACAAACCTAACGGCAACTTTCCGTCCCCACTGAGCCACACAAAGTCACAGCTGGTTTTGTCTCATTAGCTTAAAATTTAGCAGAGTCGTCACTAAGCTCATAATTACTGGCTTCTATCAATAAATTGATCATTTATGGAAGCTGTTGTATAAAACTGAAAATGAAATTCAACGAGACACAAAGTAAAAGAGCGAAGCCCGTTTGAAGAGTCCTCAAAAACATTTGTGCGCTAACTGTGTAAGGACTTAATTACTCCTCTAACAAATCACTACTGGAGCCAAGAGAGGGGGACTCCACCGGTTCATGACGGTGCTGATTACTCCTCCTCTCCATCCAAACTAAACAGCTTTGCTTGACAAATGCAATAACACATCCAGAAAATTCCTTTGCGTGAGACTGTTTTGTGGAGCTGCAGGAAAGGAAAAGAGTGTGCGTGGGGGGAAAGTTGCAGCCAAATCAACACAAAGCGTGAGATCTGCAGACTACTAAATCACTAATGTTGTACAGGATCTGCCCCCTGTGTTTTATTCAGCCCGCCTGCCAGCCAGCTCCCACAGATGAATCCACAGCTGTGCTCTCTCTTACCCACGTGAACTTGCTCTATGGAGTAAAGGCACCATCCCCCGTGAATTATCTTGCAAATGTAAATCCATTCTTTTGCATTTTTGCAGCAATTTGCATTCGTGTTTAGCACATAATAATAAAAAAATTTGGAAAAGAAAGCTCCTTCACATTAACACGACTCATGTGAAAAGCACATGACTTTTTTCATATACGAGCTGCATTTGAACTATGTTTAGAAAGGCCAGTTTATAATATTTCACTGGTAATTATAGTTCTGAACCTCAAAAGACGTTTTTTGTTCCAGGACGGAGGAATAAACACGCTTCTCGTTTCTCATGTTGTGCCGTAAAAGCTCATCCAGTGACGAGCCCACTCTTCGTCGGACATTTACAAGCCCCCCCACCCCTCTTCAATGTCAGATCATGTTCTATTGTTTAGACCCAGAACCCCCAGAAGAACTTTCCAAGTTTAGAGAACGGTAACATAATATGCAAACCTGCACCGTGTTTACTCACATACAGCGTATCAGAAATGTCATCTGTTGCATGTTGAAACGTCTGCGCTGTTGCCAACACTGTGCAAATGTTGCTGCTGCCGCCGTGGGCGAATCCTCCTAAGCGTGCCACTGTCTAATAAAGGCTTTTAGTATTTCTCCTTTAAAGTTCTCCTAGCTCTTGTAAACGATTTTACAGCTGGAGCTCTTGTGAAAATTGATGGATTGAGTTAAGAAGACTGACATATGGGGGCATTTAGAGACAAGGTAATTCGCTGTCATCTGCTAATTAGCAAAAGCCTTCAGATAGTTATTACTCAAGAGACTCGTTATTTAAAATTAAAAAGGTCAAACTGGTCATTTTGTTTTTTTTTTCCATTTTGTTTAGATCAAGTAATTCAAGGCAATTAACCAGGAATGTTGCTGCTTTAGCTGCACTTTTCGATCAACTTGGCCTGTACAGTTTTGCCAGATTTGTCATCTAATGGCCTCGGCAGCAAATGAGGCCAAGAGAAACCTATAAACTGTTCTTAAAGTAGATAATGGCAGCCGAGTGGTGAGACTGACAACCTGCTGCGGAGAAAGCTGCTGTGCATGACGACGTAAACCTCGCGTTTCACGGGTCTGCAGAGCAAACAACTCCCCCTCTCTCTAGCTCTGATCCAGATCCAGCTTTGTGATGCGTAATGTCCGCCCTTCATCTGCTTGGCTGGAGGATGAAGCTTATTGTTGACATGTGGTCATTTCAAGAGAGTCCTCTGCCAAATAAAGCCCAATCAGCTGCACACTGCAGATTACAGGCAGAATGATGCATTTGAATAATGAGTTGTTTTTATTCAAGGATTTTTCTTTAACAATTAAAAGAAGAAGAAGAAGAAGAAGAAGAAGAAGAAGAAGAAGAAGAAGATGAAGAAGAAGGAGATGAAGAAGAAGAAGAAGAAGGAGATGAAGAAGAAGAAGAAGGAGATGATGAAGAAGAAGAAGATGAAGAAGATGAAGAAGATGAAGAAGAAGAAGAAGAAGAAGAAGAAGAAGAAGAAGAAGAAGAGGAAGAGGAGATCTTTTCTATAGCGCCTCTCAGGATAAAATTCACGAGGCGCTTCACAAAAGCAAAATATGAAAAAGAATTTAGAAAAAGATTAAAAATATATTTAAAATGAGCAAAAAATAGACAATTGTGATTAAAAATGTAAAGAAAAAGAGAGTGAATAGGAAAGAGGGAAATCAGTGGATCCTGAGGAAGTGGAATAGGTGGGGAGAGCAGAATAAAGAGAGAGAGGTGAAGAAGGTCACACCAAAACCATCCTGAACAAGTGTTTTCAGCTGCTTTTTAAAGGAGACCACTGAGTCCACTGATCTCAGGCTCAGTGGGAGAGAGTTCCAGAGTCTGGGGGCCACAGCAGCAAATGATCTGTCACCTTTGGTCTTTAGCCTGGTGCTGCACAACCAGTAGGCTTTGATCACTGGACCTCAGGGACCTACTGGGGGTGTAGGGACTGAGAAGATCACCAATGTAAGATGGTGCTTGTCCATGTAAGGCCCTTTAGACCAGAACCAGGATCTTGAAATGAACCCTGAAGTTGACTGGCAGCCAGTGAAGCTGGAGGAGAAGCGGGGTGATGTGGGTGTGTTTGGAGGACTTGGTCAGAAGCCGAGCACAGGCCTTCTGAACCACCTGTAGACGGTTCAGGGAGGTTCTGCTCAGACACATGAAAAGAGAGTTACAGTAGTAACCTCCCTCCATAATTAGGAGGAATAATTACCCTCCATAATTTGATTTTTCAGCCTCTATAAAGTATATGGAACTTTGTTGGGGCTCAAAATGAATGACATGAATGCCACAAGATTCCCATATCGCCATCCCCCACGGCGTGTTCATAATACACATGATGAAGGCGGTGTTACGCCGGCATGATGTGTCTTCTAAAAAGGGCGTAGGAAAGCAAGTCAAAGACGGCACAGGCTTAATGGTATGCTACAGAACCCTCAAGCTGCCTTTATTCAACAACAAAAAGGAAAATGTGGTTTTAAACAATAGAATTGCTTTAATTTCCATTTGTCTGAAAGCAATCGCCTGATTGCAAAGCCTAAAACGTCCTTTCTTTTAAATACCATGAGTCTCAAACATGATTTGCATTCATTAAAGGTGGGTGTGGTTTTACCTCTCACACAAGGTGTTCTGGTCACATTGCACTGCCTCCGTTCAGCCTCTGGGACGCACGTCTGTGAGGTCACAAGTGAAGGGGAGGGGTCCGGACTGTGAATCTGAGGGAGGGGTGAACGAACCCGGGACTGGGAACCTCTCTTAAATCCACATGTTTTGTTCTTCTTCATACAGGAACTCCATTGGCTCCATTCTCCCAGTTCACACTCTGAAGCACGCTGACCTGGGACCAAAAAATATGCAAGCGGCTGAGCGAATGGTCCGTGACTTTAGCATCACAGATTTGTTTCAAATTTTCTGTCTGCTTTTCACACCTCAGTAAGTTTAACTCAGTGTAATGTTGATGGATTTATAGCGGAATAGGATCGGGTTTGGACGGTTGCTAAGAAGCAGAAAATGTATTGCCATCACAGTGCTCATGATGAATGTGGATGCGTTAATTTGAAGGAAAAAGCTAAAAATCCAAAAGGCCAGAACCCTTAAAAGGCTTTTGGATTTTTGCTGTTGTGTTTTCTGCAGCAAAACTAGGATGTTTCACAGTTAACGTTGTTGATTAAAAAGAAATAACAAACCAATTGGGCATGTTTGATTATTGTTTAACATTAAAGGTGAAATATGACACCCTGTGGTCAAATTTGATTGCTGCACTAAGCAAAAAGTTACTTTCTCACTGCCGTTCCATGAGTTTCATGGCCTCTGCCAGTTATGGATCGGCACCAGAAGATTACGAGCAAAGATGAGTCCGTACACAGTAAGTTGATAAGTAGATAAAACATTGTCATATCTCATGCTAGCGCTCTTGGGTGTTACAGTAAGGAGCACTTACTACACTTATTACGGTAATATGTCTCCAGAAAACGTTTCTTCTTCACTGATATTACAACACATTCTCACACCCGAAGTGGCTAAAACTTACGTTGGGTGACCAAGTTGTTGTTTCCGGCACATTGGGAGCGCTGTGCCAGAGCGTCGCTTTCTGACGCCCGCTGTAAAAGGGTGATTACACCTGACTTTTACCCTCTTGCTATTTAACCTTCCCGTCACCCCCATCCTAACCTTAACCCACTTGCGCATGCAAAACTATGTTTCTAGTTGTGTCGTCCCTCTCAAACATGGTTAACGAGAAATTTAGAACGCGAAACTGGGTTAAGGTTTGGATGGGGGTGAGGGAAAGGTTAAATAGCAAAAGGTTAGAGGTTAAATATCTGTAAAATGTGCATTTTCCCGCTGGCTTCGAAAACCGACGTTCTGGCATCATGCGGAGCCTCCCGACGTGCTGGAGCCTCCTGACGCGTTGGAAACAAATGCTCAGTCACCCATCGTTAGTTTTAGCCGCTTCGGGTGTGAGAATGTGTTGGATAATAATGAGCGGAGAACCTGTCACACCAGTAGTGTTCTGGTGCTAAATAAGCGAGCGTTATGAATGGATGACCCAGGAAAGTAAAGCGATTCAGCAGATGGTCCAATCATTGCTCTCTGCCACAACCGTCTTATTTGCTGTGGTTTTTAGACAAATGCGAGAGAACCACTTAATTACTTTGTATTTTTTTAAAACATCTAGATAATATTTATAGCTATGCTATGTTAGAACGTTAAGAGGCATGAAAAAAAGTCTTTTACGCTGGTTTTCCTGATTTGCTATAGCAGCTTTAATACCTTCAGCTGAGGGCATGTGGGAACTAATATGGATTAAGTACTACATCGATTTGGTAAAAATACTCACCGATGCACTCCATGGTCTCATTGTCGGTGTGCAGGCCTGGAGGGCAGCTGACATAACATCGCCCACTGTGTGAATACAAGCCCTCCTTACATTTTGTGCAAAAATTGCGATTGAAACATGCTTCACAATTGTCTATTTTACACTCTGAAAAACAGAGACAAAAAAGAGATCATGAAAAGAATCATTTTTAGTTTGCAAAATAATGTTTATGTATCAAGACTAGATTTAGAGACTAAATTTGATAGAAAACAATATGAAATACTTTGTTTCCCCTGGAGAATAGCTGCCCTCACACAATAAAATCCACAAATAACCCTATATAACATTTACACAATGCAAACCTACGTGTATTTCACCCAAAAAACACATCGTACAGTTACTATTTTTACAGATATATAAATTTATGTAAAGCGTGGGTAAGGTTCATGACATTCTAAAACACAGAAGTGTGTTTTCATTGAGTTCTCTCAGGATATAGCATGAATATTTCATATTCACCATTCTTGAGAGACAGAGCAAAAACAAATACCCTCCCAGAGATTTATTGGGTACTCAAATAAATGTTTTTAAAACTTTTTCTAGTACAGGCTCAGTCTGTCTGCAAAACCTGGGGCCTAATTCATCAAACGTTCGTAGAAACGTTCCTATATTTAATCCTACAAATGAAATTTAGAATGTTCAGCCCAAAGCCTGAATTGTGAAATGTGCAGTGGCCTCTCGTACGGATGTTCCTCCGCTATCAGCTGTTGATTAATCCCACTTGTGCGTACTCAGGTGCTCGTGCCTGTTGACAGCAGGGGCGCCTCCAGAAAATTTTGATAGGGGTGGCCAGATGGGGCCAAAGAAATTTTTGGGGAGGCACACCAAACTGGTCCTTGTGGTAACTCTGGGAGAATTTAGCCTGTGGCAATGTACTGCGTTGCACCTTTATTCATTTTTGTTAAAATAACAGTACGTGTCCAAAACATTTAACTTACATTTTACAAATGCAATCATTTTATAAAAATACATTTCAGTTCTTTAAAATTTTACCCCAAATTTAATCAAATATTTAATTTTTTTAGGTTTATTTACCTGTGTTGCTGTGTTCACAAAAATGGTTTTTAAAATGGTGAGTAGCAGAAACATATGCATATTTTTTATTCTGATTATTTCTTTACTCATTAATTGTAATATTTTTATTTTGTTTTACAATTATGTCTTGAATAACCAAGAATAATATATGGTTTGACTGAACATTAATGTGATTCATTAACACTGGCTTTTCCTGGGGGGCCAGCATTTTTCTATGGGTGGCCACCCCTTGGGGGCGCCCTTGGTTGACAGCCATTTGCACAGAGAAACACCCTCAATTAACCATATTTGGTCACGCTACGTCCTCAGCACATGAGGGGATTCCCTGTTTTTTTTTATTTATTCATTATCTTTTTTAAAAAATAAGAAACTGTATTGACAACGAGATCGAAACACTGGTTTACAGAGGTTAAAAACGTGGTCGGGAAAGAGGAGAGGTTCCTGTTAGAAATAAACAAAGAAACGGATTTGATAAATCGTAAAGTTGTCATTTACATTTGAGGAGTCGTTCTGTTTGGAGTTAGTTATATTTGGAAATGTTGTCTGAGAGTGCAGCCTCTGTGATGTCATTCAGTCTGGTTACCTTGGCACCGCGGCGTGTATGATCTGGGAGCAGAGGAGGTTCAGGAAGGTTTTCATAGTTTTAAAATAAAATATGAACTGGGATCAAATTTGTAAGGTTTGTCTGTTGCACCACAAGGGGTCCCAAATCCAAGCATAGGGGAAGGATTTCCTAGTGCGCTCACAGAGAACGCGTTCCCTCCAGACAGCACATTCTGGTAAATCCTCCAATAACGCAGAACTGCCATGACATAATGTCAGATTACTGTCGGTCACTGGTGTCTTTTATTGGTTTTAGCACCAATTGTGCAAAAATGCAGTTTTTCCAAATTACATACTGGATAAAAAAAATTTGTGGATGAGAAACACATTTGGATGACTGAGACATTCGGTATTGCTCTTCCCCGTTGCTGTTCCTTTGCACGGTCAGAGCTGTTCTTACATTTAGGAACGTTTCTACGCACAAGTACAAAATGAGAAATACCACACAATGCATACGATTGTCCCTATGCTCGAAAAACACACAGACCTGAGTCTAAGTACGTTTGGTAAATGAGAAGAGTACAATTTGAAAGATTTCTAATACATTTCAAATGCAAGGCCTAAATCCAAAATATACTTTGCTTTAAAGAAACATGTTTATTCTAATGATTCTTTCAAAAATGATAAAAACCGAGACATCTGTGAATTAGTGTATGTGCAGAAATCTGGACTCGTTTTATTCCTATCTTCGAAACCTAAAAATGACCACACTGGAAATGACGACAAATTCAGAAAGGATTTAAAATCAAACGCCTCAGTGGAGTCCAAATATTTTTGCCTCCTGCTACCCATTATGTTTTCTTTGAGCCCTTTGACAGCTAAATTTGACTTCACTGATGTTTGTAGCCTCATAATTTGATACAAATGTTGCTAACAAGACATTCATGAATGACATGTATAACGACAGATGATTGGATAATAATCCAGATAGCAACCAAGTGCCTCGGAAAGCTATTTAAAAGGAAGATGTATCCCTTTGTTGCTGCAAACTTGGATGCTGAATGGATTTTGAATTGAAAACAAATACAAATTAGAATGAATTTGTTGCTAACAGGAGAAAATCCCGTCTTTTTAGCCAAATTTTATTGAGGCCTGAGGGTTTGTCTGTTAAACTTTATTATACAAGAGAAACTAAGCTGGTTGTAATTATTCAGAAGAGGAAGCCTCGTTTTATTAGGGCGGAAACAATCGATGCACTCATTAAAATGTAAAAAATGGATTACATTATATGAAATCAAATGTTTTCTACTTTCTTTTTAATGTCAGAAAATGCCTAAATTATTTTGTTTAATGCAAGTCTTAGGAAACGGAGGGCACTAAACTAAAACGCTGTGCACAGCAAACACCGTGTCCTCACATGAGCCCTGCAGACAAGAGCCAAACGAAAAAAATAAAAATGCAGACATAGTTTGATTAAAAACAAACACAACACAGTAAAAGTGTTTTCATTGGGATTTCAGTCCAATCATTGATTCTGCACACACATGGGATGGGTGTGTGGGGGGGTTCTCTGCCACAAGTAAGAGAATGAAAGTAGTTTATTAACATCTTGGAGCGTGGCCATTGTTCTAGCCGATGTCTTAGTGAGCCAAACCTGCTCGTTACCACCGCGAGGATCGTTACAATGCCCAAATTCTATTGGATTTGGCTTTTATGGGATTATTTTGAACTGGGTATGCAGCAAATAGTCATGAAACTGTAGTGGTGTCTAAAAAGTGTTTTGTGGCTAAGAGCCACTAGGGGGAGCATTGTTGTGCCGGTTAGTTCTTTGTGACCTCTGGGTAGACCAGAAGAAGACGCGTAGTTGTTGTATGGTGAGTTCCCTGTGAACGCAGCAGCATAAAGGTTCAACAGTAACTGAGTTACTGGAGTATACGCTGGTTCTTCCCCCAAGATATCACATAAATTGGGGATGAGGATAAAGAAGCGACAGCTGGAAAGAAACAGCGGAGCTACAGGGCGCGGCGAGGCAAGGAAGTGCCGGCGACCGGAGGAGCTGCTTCAGAGGGGGAAAAATTGAAAAAAAAAAGGAAAAAAGAAAAAAGGAAACAAAACCATGGCGGCCGCGATAGGAACGGTGAGTCCTTTTGCCAGAGAATCCCAGTCTTGGGAGGAATACAGAGAGATGCTGGAGTTTTTTTTTTTTCGAGGCAAATGAGATAGATGACGCTGATAAAAGAAAGCTGTTTTGTTAAGTGGAGTGGGTTCGGCTACATACAGCTTGCTGAGGAGCTTGTTAAGCCCGGAAACGCCGAAAGATAAAACTTATGATGAGCTCATACAAATACTCCAGACTCATTTCAGCCCCAAGCCAAGCCAGATTGTGCAGAGATTTAAATTCAACTCCAGAATGCAAAAGACCGGAGAAACTGTGGCTGAATATGTGGCTGAGTTGAGGAGGCTGGCTCAGCACTAAGAATATGGAATAGGGGCAGTGCTTTCGCATGGAATGCTGGATGGGTCAGAACAACCCATAGGGTTTGTCTCAAGGACACTCGAGTCAGCGGAAAAGAATTAATCACAGTTGGACAAAGAGGGCCTAGCGGTGGTGTTTGGCGTTAAGAGGTGCCACAGGTACCTCAATGGACATCAGTTCACCATCGTCACTGACCATCAACCACTGATTTCATTATTTAATTAAATGAGGGCAGCGCCACAGATGGCTTCACCACGTATTCAGAGGTGGGCAGTGACCCTGGGAGCTTACGACTTTACCATTGTGTACAAAGTGGGTAAAGACCATGGCAATGCAGATGCCTTGAGCAGGTTGCCGTTATCTCCAAGGGAGGAAGAAACTAAGGAAACCACAGGAGAAGAAGAGCGTGTGTTGATGTTCCAGGACAGTGATGTTCCACTGGTGAGTGCAGCCCAGATAAAAGAAGGGACAGAGAAGGATCCGGTCATGAGCCAGGTGCAGGAGTTCATACTAAGAGGGCAGCCCAGAGCAGTGGAGGAGTCGGCACTGACACCCTATTTCCAAAGAAAAGAGCACTCAGGAGGGTTGTATACTGTGGGGAGGAAGAGTAATTATTTGCCCACAGGGCCATGCAGCACTCCTACAACAACTTCATGACTCCCATCCCTGGAATAACAAGAATGAAAGGATTGGCTCGCAGCTGCATGTGGTGGCCAAACATGGATAAAGAGGTGGAGATGCTAGTAAAGACCTGTACCATTTTTCAGGAAAATAGGAATAATCCGGCAATGGCTCCATTACATCCATGGGAGGTTCCTGCTCGACGTTGGCAACGAATCCACAATGATTATGCAGGCCCCTTCATGGACAAAATGTTCCTGATCCAAGTGGATGCTTTTTCCAAGTGGACTTAAGTACACGCAGTGAACAACTCCACATCTGCCGCAACCATCAAGTGTCTAAGGGAGACTTTTCGTCGTTATAGACTACCAGAAGTCCTCGTGTCGGATGATGGTACGTGTTTTACAAGTGAAGAGTTCCAAGAGTTCGC